GGGCAGGGCGGTGCAGCTCCGCTCCGCTTTCCTTAACCTGGCACATCTCATTCGCTCCATTAACGACCCCGAGCACCCCCTCACCCTGGAGGAGCTGAATGTCGTCGAGCAAGTGCGAGTGAAAGTGAGGTCCCCGCTGGGACGTGCTTATCGTCCCGCTTGCGCGGCGGTCGCGACCGGCTCTCCGGGGGCCGCGGCCGGCCTTGCCGGTCGGTAAATGCGCGCTGTGCTGCAGGGCAGTGCTGCCTCTGCCGTCTGATTAACTTAATTATTTTTTTCGACCGTTAAAAGAGGTTTGTTATAGCAGTCTTCTGCAGCTAAAGATAGCATTTTAAAATGCCAGTGAAGAAAACGATCAGCGACAAAGTACAGCTGCAGGATGCATTTCACATAAAATGCCTCCAGCTAGCTTGGGGTAAAGCCAGTGAGTTTTGCCCATAAGTGTTTGGTTTTCAACAGGTGAATGACGCAGAAAGCACGGTGGTGGTGGAATTCACACCCACCATTCCTCACTGCAGCATGGCGACGTTAATCGGCCTCTCCATAAAAGTAAAATTGATCAGATCTCTGCCTGAGAGATTTAAGGTGAGTTATCAGATCGCTCTGGAAAGCCAAAGAGGGGGATTGTGTTTGAAAAGAAAAAAAAAAAAGGAAAAAAAAAGCAGCTAATTAATTTACAGTGAAAAATAACTAGAGCTTTTTTCATATTATGGATGAGGGAAACAGTCCAGGAACCAGAGAGGGCAGTGGACTAAAATATTGATGCAGAATTACGGTTCTGTGACAGTCATGTCAAGGGGGGTTATGGAGGGAAGTTAACTTCAGTGCTCTGCAGCACGGGAGGAGGAGAGGTTGGTGCCTCACCCCCCTGTCTGAAGGAGGCTTAAGCAGATGGGAATGCAGAATATTCTGTGATTTTACACTTCATTTTATTCTGCTATATACAGTAACTGATATTGGCAAGAATGTCCTTTTTTTCCCTCTTTTTTGTTACTGGCTTATTTTTATTATTAAATAGTTTGAACTTGGGCTTCCAATGTTTTGTTAACTTGTCCCCTTTTTCTTTTGTGATGGCTTTCAAGCTGGATGTTCATATAACACCAGGAACACATGCCTCTGAGCATGCAGGTAAGGTTTTTAGTGCTCTGTCATGTGGTCTTCTTAATTTTTTTTAATTTTGAAAATTAGAGAGGAGAGAGACTCCTACAGAGTCTGCTCCTGCAGAGCAGCTCTTTAGTATCTGGAACTTTACATGTGTCAGCTTCTGGGGGATATTACAGAACAAGAATGTGTAATAATGACACTTAGATGCATCCTGTACCGTACTTTGAACATCTCCTCAGGCAACCTGTGCTCTCAACTAGTCATTGATTTGCCTGGGTTACGGAGGATTCAGAAAATGGGAGAGGCTAGGGGGGAAATTTCTTCTCGTGTTACACCTACACATGTGTAGCTCCCTGCTGCTGAATCATAAACAGCTTGCTGGTTTAACTTCTGATAACATGGTAGCTTTGACTTTAGACTGTAACTCTGCAGTGTACTTAGCATCTGCAGAATTACTTGTCTACCTGAGTATCATAGCAACAGTGTGATTATGTGTCTCAATGTAAAATGCTTTTAAAAAAGACACTGTGTACCAACGTTTTGACCGGTTTCTTGTGGTGTTTTTTTCTGCACAGTTAATAAACAGCTTGCTGATAAAGAACGTGTAGCAGCTGCTTTGGAAAACTCTCACTTACTGGAAGTGGTGAATCAGTGTTTGTCTGCTCGATCATAATTGCCTGATGAGGAAATCGTTGATATTCTGCTATGTTAAACTAATTTTGTATATAAGTGGTGACGCTAGTGTTACACTATACAGATATCTATGAGCAAAATAAAATCACTTCGATTTTCTTAAAGAAATGTTTCATTACTTCTAAAAAAAAAAATAGTATGTGGGAAATTAGCTTACAGGCAGCTACAAAAATATAATGAAAATGGATTTTTAAATTTTATTAGTCATTGCATAGGTAGGATTTTTCTTTAAAAAGATTTGTTTCAACATGTTTTTAACAGGTTTCTCACTATTCAAAATCAGTTAAAAGCTGCAAGTGGATTTTGCACACTGGACTTTACAAGTACACCAAGCTAATTGGCAGTTAAAATCTTTACATTCATATGACTGTTTTGGACTGCTAATATAATTTTAGCTTCAGACATCAAAAATTGTATAAGTTCATGTGTGCAAAATTGTAACATGTTTTAGCAGTAAGTGTAAACACTTCTAAATCATCTGCCTGGTTTTTATTATATTAACTTGGATTAGCCAAATATGGAGGGCTCTTTAGACCTGTATAAAATGTGATTTATTTTTAATTACTCATTACTTGTGGTAGGAAGTACAGTATCTTTGAGGTATGAGGTTTTTTTCATGCACCTGCCGCACTATAGGAGTCATACATAGTTTTCACTACGAACAGTCCAGCTACCCTCTGCTGAAAGACTTTCCTCGCAAAGTTTGATAGCTAAATGGCAAGTTTTGCTTTAAACATACTGAGATTTAATAATAATACCTACCCTATGCTTCTGGTTTGGGAAATGTGGCATTTACTAAATGTCTCTGGCAGAAATTGACAATAGAAAAATTCATTAAGATAGAACTCCAGAATTAATTTGAACCTTTGTAAAAAATGTTTCTAATCGTGGACCACATGGAAAAATACCAACCTGTTAAAGAAATCCTATCGGGTATTTTGGTGCCTGCACACATGTAGTGTTACCTTTATCGTCATCGGTTATCTAGAGAGTAACTAATACACTTTTTGAAAAGTAGATTGTGCTCACCTGTGTGATGGTAATGCTTTGTATTTCAGTAGTATTTTTTCTTGGAGGGTCTCAGATGCTATTTTAAAAATGGTGAAGCTTATGAACACTATGTAAACCACAGCCTAGTAGTCCAGTCTAGTCTGTGTTGAGCAGCTGAGGAAACTGAGGCAGTGGTGATCCAAGTGTGACATCTAAAGTCACATAGCAAAATATGACAGAAACAAATCCAAATCTTCCCATTTCAGAAATGAGGCACCCGGTTTGCACAGGGCTTCTACAGAAAGCCAACCCTGCAGCAGCCTTATTCTGCTTATTTGGCTTAGCATCCTTTGAATGATCAGCACTTGCTTGGATGTATGAATGAAACTGTAAATAAAGACAATATTTATGTAGTAGTAATATTGGGAAAGGAGCAGAATGACCCAGCTGTTAATACTATCTTTCCTCTCTGCCTCTCTTGCTGAATTACTGAACTGATTAGTTCTGACACTGCCAATGTTTGCACCACAAATGAAACTTCAGCCATGGCAATGCATGCAGGCAGCTCTTAGGGAACACGCTTGGTTGGTTTGATTTTGTTTTCTGGTTTTTTTTTTTAATAGAAAATGAATTTTGTCCTCCCAGATTTTGGGGAAGAAAGGAATGGAAATATGTGCTGGGGGAAAACAGAAGGATGACTAAGCTGCCAACAGGTAGACGCACTCCAAATAGAGAAGGAATCAGTAAATTACGCTTTGCTGAATTTCTCTGCTTGGCTTTCACCACTACATAATAGTGTTAAATAATTCATTGTTGGCACTTGCCTCATGAAGCACATTGTACACAGTAATCCTGGAGGTGCACTTTGCACCGTTTACCTTTTCAGAGAAACAACACTATGTGGTTAGATTGTTTAAATTTATAGTATATAGTTGGGGGATGACTTTTCAGTAAAGGGACTCTGTTGTGGGATATCAAAGAAAAGGTCTGACTTCTGTTACTTAAGGATGGAGAATTCTATTACTTTAGATCTGGCGTGTTTCTTTAAGTGATGTGGATGTTATATTTATGAGATGATAGAAACAAGAGTAAGGACAAACCACAGTTACTTTGCTGAAGATCACAGGTCCTCGTATACAGGCTCCCTCAGCTTGGATACTTGCTGAATGATAATATACTGCCAGTTCTAGCAAAAATCTTCCATTCCCTGGTTTTAATGATCGTTAGCTGGCTCCTGCTGTATGGAGATAAAGTGGGAGAAGAAAACATTAATTTGTTACAAATATTTCTTTTCAGACTTCTATTTTTCCAGAAAGCTATCTCTAAATTTAGTCTCTGGAATGCTTTGTAATAGGACACATTCCATCAGAAGCTATGACCCTTTAGAGCAGCTGTGTTGAATACAAACAGCCTCATTCAAGTCCAGGAAAAATGCCAGAAGCAGACATCTGTTTCACATTCCTAGGCCGTGGGCAGAGCCTTCCAGGGGTGGCTGGATAGTATTCACTACTCTCAATCTGCAAACACTGCAACAGAAGCTCCCTAGGGCAACTGGCTTTGTTGTGCACCAGAGTAACCTGCCGTGAGTTTGAGTCCTTGGGCTGCCTACACAGTCCTGCTCCCTGGGAGAGAGCAGACTTCTTCCCAGCTGCTCCCATACTGTCATTGCTGCCTAGTACCAGCAATCTGAAACTTTGAAGACTGTTCATTCCCTGATTTCATGAGTGGGAGGGAAGCTGCTCAGCAGCTTTGTATCCAAAGGTGCAACTGAACTGTCCATGGAAGAACTTCACACTTCAGTGACAGTATTTCTTGTGCTCCTTGGGTGGAGCGATGTATACCACACACTGGGAACTGCTAGTTAAAAAAAGTTATTTCAGTCTTCTGGCTGTGCTTAAGATTGATGTGTTTACGTCAATAAAGTGCTTTGATAAAGATCTCCCTCTGGAGCTTTGATTTATAAACTACATGTTTTACAATGTTGTTTTTTTTTTTTATAGCTGTTAAAAACATTTCTCTTTAGCCTGTCAAGCAGACAACTATACCACTTTCCCTTCCTTTACGAAATGCACTGTTTGGTCTAAAAACAGACTGAACAAGTGGCAGAGTCAACTTTTTTCCCTAAACAAAAGAAAAGTTTATAGCAAAACCTTTCAAATGTTACTGTGGAAAAGTAATTACCAGCAAAGAGAATAAAACCAGGGGAAGGTGAGGCTATTACCTGTGTGTTTAAGTCTGCTGGTGTGTCTCACAACCATTTGCCAGCAACATTTAATACAAAGCACATAAAAGTTACTTCATTCCACAAAATGCTAAAAATACACAACATTTTTACAAAACATACAAATAGCAGAGAGCCCTCATTTTGTTCAATGCACTTCAGTAGTTGCAGAAGACATGCTATCACATTCTGTAATCTTCTTATGTATTTCTGACTATCAATTAATACATTTCTTCTTTCATGTCCTACCTGTAAAGAGCTTTTGCATCCTGTGGCAGGTTATCTCCATTCCTTAACCTTCCTTTGTGGATCAAAGGAGCAGCCCTGTCCGTGGTGATAAAAACATCCTGATTGGTTGGATGGTTGGAAACTCTCCTCTCCCAGCTTCATTCCACACGCTCATCAGGGTTGCTGAATAAATTTGCCAGTTGTCTCATCAGTTTTGTTGCTTTTCAGCATCTTGTGGCAGCACACACAAGCTTCAGATGCCAAGGCTGTCCTCTTTAGTACAGAAGTTAAAACAGTCTCTGGTTCCTGCCATTAGCTCAGCTCCCAGTGCAGGGCTGGAGGGAGAGAACAGGGCAGAAGTTAATTTCCAGCAAGTCTGTGGAACAAATACAACATGGGAATGGGGAGCAGCTGCTGCCTGGGAGCTTTGGGAAGGCACAGGAAGAAAAAGAAGGAAATAGCAGGGGCGTACAACATCTCACTGTGCTGCCACTAGCTGGGGGATGCCTCCAGCCTCAGTCTGTGGCAACATGGAGAACAGGTAGCTTCTACAGTGCTGAAGGCTTTGGCCTCCAAATTGCAGGGGAAATAAGTGAGCTCCCATTACCATATGCTAGACATCTCCCAGCCCTCTGGTTTCCTTGTTCCCTACAATCTGGCTGCCTGAAGGGGAGATTCCCACGTGGGGCCTGTAGCTAAGTCATGGCCAAGCGTGACCCCCCTCTGCCCTCTCTTGCTGGGCTGTTACGCAGCCCATCCCATTACTGCCCTTGTGCTGCTGCAGGTAACAAGAAAGCCTTTGCTGTCCCACTGCAGGTAAGTCACGAACAGCAGGAGGAGACAGGAGAATCAGGAGGACAAGTATCTACATAAAACTAATGCTTTAAGTTGACAAAGGGAGATGCACACCTTGCCAGGTCATAAGTGCAGTGGCCAAAGAATGTGCGCAGCAGCTGTGTCCACGCTGAGCCAAGCAGGAAGACCCAAGCAACTGGCAAGTCATCACTGCCAAACTCTTTCTGCTGGACGTGGTCTTCCCCATTATTCTCATGTAACTTTGAGATGATGGTTTATCATAGCACTTTTTTTCCTAATCTACTCAAATCAGTTTCATCTGGGTTCCCATCAGATGTGTCACACATGGCTTTGACCAAAATAACCTCAGTAGATTGTCACGAGCTTGCTTAACCCCAGGATGCCTGGCAGCTTGATTTCTCTACACTTTTGCTAATGGAAGAGCTGGCACGTGTTCTCTCTAAGGATTATGAAGGTACCTAAGCAGCAATGCTTTTTATTTTCCCTGCAAAGTGACAAATAAATCATCCATGTAGTCTGAAATGCTTGCAGAGAAAAACAACAAATGCCAATAGATTCCAAATTTTTTCCTAACAGTTTTAATAGAACAAAACTAGTTTTATTACTGAAAATCAGGAAATAGTTTCATTAACACTGCAGCCAACCTTTTTAAAAACACAATTACTTTTGAGGTAGACAGAAAATAATAATTAGGAACAAGTCACATAAATTGTTTCTCTTCAAAT